ACAAAAAAAAAAAAAAAAAAAAAAAAGACTTCCTTTTCTACAGCACAAAAAAACAAAACAAAAAAGCCCACCAATTGAAATTGCAAAACAGGTCAAGGAAAAGAGTTTACCAAGAAATAAAGGGAGCCAGAAATCTCTGGGACAAAACAAAAAAGGTACCATAAATTTTTAAGTGGAGTGGTAGAATCAGAAAGTCAAAATGGGTTACTGAAATTATAATTGAATACTTTTAAATACTGTATGTCAATACTACTTATATTAATGAATACATTTGATTCCAGACACCATACCACTTGTTCACCAACGTGTGTTGATACTATTTAAACAATTTTTATCTTTTAAAATTTATTTATTTATTTATTTTTGGCTGTATTGGGTTCTCGTTGCGGCGCGGGCTTTCTCTAGTTGCAGCGAGCGGGGTGTGGTGCGAGGGCTTCTCATTGCAATGGTTCTCTTGTTGCAGAGCACGGGCTCTAGGCACCAGGGCTTCAGTAGTTGTGGCACGCAGGCTCAGTAGTTGCAGCTCTCTGGCTCTAGAGCACAGGCTCAGTAGTTGTGGCGCAGGGGGTTAGTTGCTCCGCGGCATGTGGGATCTTCCCGGACCAGGGCTTGAACCCATGTTCCCTAAGTTGGCAGGCGGATTCTTAACCACTGCGCTACCAGGGAAGTCCCTGAAACTATTTTTAAAAAGTATAAATATCTCAAATGCAAATATGTTGAGATCGGAGAAATTGATACAATCAACTGTCCTTATGTTTATACAGATTATCCCAGATGTAAAAAAACCCCAAACATTAAAAAAAAAGTTCTCACTGCGGAACAGAACATACAGTAAAGGAAATGCTTTTACTTAAGAATGACCCTAAACGCAAATATCCAAAAGAAGTATAGTAAACTTGGAGACAAGAAGAACGAAAACTACATTAAATTTCATTAAAAATAGTAAACTTAGCACTAGATCACTCCGAACCACATTGAATTTTGTGAGGACAGCGAGAAGAGTGGTGACCGGGGGAGACAAAGTTGTTAGTAAGGTCCGTCAGGACAGACTAGAAGGAGTGAACTGTGCTTGGATTAACTGGGGGAATGCAGCCTACAAGTCTGTTTCTGGCGTTCAAGGTTTGACCCTGAACCTCCTCAAATACTGAGAGCCCCCACCAGGCGTCTCTATGACTGAGTCCTATATTAAATGCCAGTCTAAACTCCAAACATGCCCAAGAAACCAACAGGGACATCTCCCCAACCCGGGCCTCTCTAACACTGAGTCCCAGGTTAAATCGCGAACCCGGACAAGACACCGCGTTCACCGATACAAACTTTCCACCACGGCTCTCAACCCCTGAGTCCTACAAGCAGAGTGATCCAAGTGGACTCCAAACTCTGACAGAGTCGGACTTTCGGTCGATGATTTCTTCAGATTCTTAATCACTGACTGCCAAAAGCCCCATCACTAACGTCCAGACGTCTCTGGGAATGATTCTAAATAAAATCCCAACTAAGGTCCTTCACACGCGCTCACGTTTCACAGTCCCAAGAGGCCGTGAATCCAAGCCCACAACCCGACTCACCTGATCCCAAACCCCTCCAGACACCACTGGCAGCGACAAAAGGCTGAGCCCACCTGCTATTCGGATGCCCTCCTGAGCGGCCCCTAGGAACGCAGACCGGCTAGGACCAGGCAATCTGGCAAGGACCTTGGAGCGCTGCCGGATTTCCGAATTCCGACCGCGCGCTCCGCTCTATGACGTAGCATGGCCCCGCCCACCTCGGCGTTTCCGACGGGCGGGGGCCATAACGGCTGTAGGAAGACATCGGAATCATTCCTGGCCCTCTCAATGCTTTTATCAATACCTGCCGGTATTGATATTGCGAGGGATGGTCAACAATGCTGTGCTAACTGCGTACGATTTCAGAGACCGATGCCTATCCAAGGCCAACGTGGCGCGTTCAGCCGGCTGCGGAACAAAGAAAGATGGCGGCTCCCTTCGTGCACTTTAGAGCAGATTCGTTACTCTGGAGCGCCATGGGCGCGGCCATCTTAGAAGAAGGCAGGTGTCCCTATGGCCGAAAAAGGCTTAGACCCCCGGTTGCTTGGGAAGATTAAAAAAGGTAGAAGTCGTTTCCCTGGTGGCGCAGTGGTTGAGAGTGCGCCTGCCGATACAGGGCACACGGGTTCGTGCCCCGGTCCGGGAAGATCCCTACATGTCGCGGAGCGGCTGGGCCCGTGAGCCATGGCCGCTGAGTCTGGGCGTCTAGAGCCTGTGCTCTGCAACGGGAGAGCCAAAACAGTGAGGCCCGCGTACCGAAAAAAAAAAAAAAAAAAAAAAAAAAAGGTAGAAGTCGAGACATCGCTGGAGAAGCGGGGCCCACGGAATTGACAAAAGCAGTGGTCACTTAATATCTTAGGTTTGTGGAGAGAGCGGTTGTACGTGGAGTGGGTAAGGCCTTTGTAGTCTAGAAGGAATTAAGACAGCCTTTGTATAGGCGTAGCCAATAAGGCAGAGTTCGATAAAAATGCTAATACCTGCGTGGGATCGATACATAGCAACCTCTAGTGGGTAAGGGGATGAAGTGAAGGTGCAAATGAGTGAACTACATGTTTCCTTCCAAAAATAAATGGTGACAGTGGGACATTTGAGAATATAGAATTATGAGGTAATGCAATTATCATACTTGGCATAGCTCACAAATTAAAAAAAAGAGCACACTTTAAAATGTTTTTATGCAGGTGTGGGAGGTTTAATTGTAGAGGCTTTAAGTTGAAGAGGACTATTAGAAGGCAACCTGGATCCAATTTAAATTGTTCATTCTCTTTGACCCAGCAATTATATTCCACCCATTTGGTGAAAGTTTTAATATTAACCACAGAGGCTTTTGTAATAAAAAAGAAAAACCTAAATGTACAATGATAAATGAATACTTTGGTAAATTATGGAGCATCCACTCAACAGTATATAACAATGAAAGATTGTCAGTATAAATAAGGAAAGGTAAATATTCTTCAGAGGATAAAACGCATCTGCAGGATAGTACATATATTATGATCCTTTTATGGGAACAAACCATAAGTGTTTGTCTTTTTGAAAATTGCGATTAGTTAAATAAAATATTTAGCTTGGATTACTTTAGGGTTTTTACTTATGGGTAGAGCATATCAGAAGTTTTCACATTCCCAATTTTTGCAATTCTCCATTGTTAACATATCTTTGTATAATAATTATGTATTACTTTAGTATTATAAAAATGTCGATTTTAGAAAAGTTTTAGAAGAATACTGAATGATGTAGATGTTCATAATATAGTAAACATAAAGAGACTAGTCTCATTTTTCTTTTGTAAAAATATACTTACATGCATTTGAAATTTGGAGAATATATTGTTAACAGTATTTGGCTCTTAGGTACAATATGGGTGATTTAAAATTTCTGTATTGTTTATATATGTTTTCTAATTTCTATACATTAAGAATTGTTTTCATAATTTCTTAATAATATTACATTCCCTTCAGGGATTAAATTTTAGCCGCATTCACCTGAGATGTCAAGCTCTGAAAGTAGAGTTACACATGTGGTCCAGAGAACTCAGGGTAGCCTGGGCAGCCCATTCTGGGATCCTGACTGATCACTTTCAGGAATGAGCTGCTCTGACCTTGCCATGGCAGCATGTGTCAGTTCACAGAAGGACAAGATACTAGCATCTGAGGGCCTGGTTGCTGGGGCCCTCATGTCTAATTCTTTGCTGTAGAATATCTGCCCAGAATCCATCCTGTGACAGTGTGGGGTGGGGCTGGGAGCACTAACCCAGGAATTAGGGCAGAGATGTTCAAATTTAAATATAGATCAAGTAAATAAATAAATATAGATCAGAAAGCTCATTTTATAAACACAGAGCCCTGGGTCCCAGTCCCACAGGTTCTGGCTTAGGTCGTGGTGTGAGGCAGGAAGCCCAGAGAAAACACTTGGAAACAGGTCTGGAGTGTTCTTGGCTCATAAATATTATGCTGGCTGGCTCCCCTCAGTACACTTAGGTATTGTTTCAAATTACATTTGTGCAGAATAGCCTTCCTTGGAAACCCTTTCTAAAATAGCTCCTCCATTACAGCCTATATACTAGGCTTAATATTTCTCCACAGCATTTAACAGAACTGAAATTCTGATGTGTATTTATTTTACTCAGTCGCCTTCACTAGACTGTATGTTCCATGAAGGCCATGGCTTTGCCTGTTTTGTTCACTGATGTGTCTCCAGTGACAAAAACAGTGCCTGGCACAGTCTAGATGCTCAAAAAATATTTTTAAAGGAATGAATTACTCAACATAGAATTGGTATAGTATTCAACATAGATTGAATACTGCCACAGTACTGTCTGGTAGATGTCCTTTTTCTCCCCCCTCCCCAAAAGCAGGACTCACCATTTGTAAACTGAACTAAATATCCTTATTATATCAAAGAAATAACTCTGGATAGAGACAAGAGAAGAAGAGCCCTACTGCTAGGAAAACTAAGAATTTGTTGCCAGTAGACCTTCTCAAAAAGAATTGATAAAGGAGACTGACAAAAAAGAAATAACAGAAGGAAACATATGAAACATATGACATCAGGAATGAAGAAAAAGGAATGGAAAGGGTGAATATATCATCAAATATAATAGGCTATTCTCCTTTTGAGTTTTAAAAATTATGTTGGATGGTTGAAAGCAAACATGACAAGTTTACCCGATATGGTTCTCAATTTGTATATAAGTGTGGAATATCATTTGCTGTTAGGGAATTGTAAAGTAAGGCCATCATTATACACTACCACACCCCTGATAGGATGGCTGGAATCAAATATGACAGTGCCAAGTGCTAGAAAAGACATGAAACAGCCGGAGCATTCATACACTGCTGGTGGGAATGTAAATTAGTACAGCCACTCTGGAAAAGTTGGCAGTTTCTGACAAAGTTAAACACAAGCGTAACATATACATATGACTCCCGGGTATTTATCCCAAAGAAACAAATTCTTATGTTCACATAAAATTGGTTACACAGATGTTCATAGATTTTTATTCAAAACAGTGAAACACCGGAAACAACCCAGACATCCGTCAACAGCGAACAGATAAACAAACCCATGGTACACCCATACAAAAGATTACTAGTCAGTAACAAAAAGTAAAACTACTTATACACCCAACAAATTGGATGGATCTTATGGGCAATTTGCTGAGGGAAATAAAGCCTATCTCAAAGGATACACACTGTATGATTCCACTTTAATAGCATTCTTAAAATAGCAGAGTTGGAGTGATGGAGTGTGATCAGTGGTCAGCATGGGTCAGGGTTGGGGGAGAGTGTAGCGGGAGGATGTTGTGTTGGCACAATGCCACATCCCGATTGTGGTGGGGTTTACAGAAATTTATAATGAGATAAAATTTCTTAGAACTCTATATATCAAAAAACAAAACAAAAAAAACTCATACAAATTAGTGCATGCAAAAACTATTGAAATCCAAATAAGGTCTATAGTTTACTTAACAGTATTGTACCAATGTCATTTTATTGGTTTTGATGATGTATTATGGTTATGGAAGATAATATCACTGAAGAAGCTGAGTAAGGGTATTCTGGAACTTTGTATATTTTGTAATTTCTTGTAAGTCTAAAACTATTTCAAAACAAAATTTAGAAAAATCATTTTTAAGGTGTTTTTGTAAACTACTTAATGCTACTTATAAACTTGGATAAATACATCTAAACATGTTGAATTACATATATGAATATATTCCTTTTCCTTTTGAAATACATAGACTGAAAGAGATGAATTTAGAGCCTAAGAAATGCAAGAGCGAATCATATAATGATATGAGGTGGGCACAGAACACTCCTGCATTGTATATAACATTAAAATTTAATGTATATAACATTAAAACCCTAAACGCAAGGTGGGCTTGTGTTCAGAAGAGCCCACTTTAAAATTATGGAATTATTGATAATATGGTTCAAGGTATTGTGTCCCAAAATGGACATCAAGTGTACAATAAGTTTAGATTTCTGAGAGAAAACTCAAGTATACGTCATTTTCATGAGGGTTTTTTCCTTCAGTATTCTCTGATATTTTGCTAAAGTTACTCCACATTTAGTGGGTTCATAAACTATTCTATTTCTGTATGAATTCGTGAGAAGCGATGAGGCAGAATGTATCACCAAAATCCTGCCATGTTCATTGTCATCTGAAAAATTTTCTCCAGCATGTATATGAGGCAACTATTGAGGTTTTATTTCTACTATCATCATATTGCTACTATGAATGAGCTCACTGGTGATCTGTTATGATCACTCATGAGATAGGGTTTTTATTCCCACAGATGGCTTTCCTAGTCTCTCCATTCATAAGATTTATCTTAGTATATACTTTTCAGACATATAATTACCTAGAAATGTTTCCTGAAGCTTTTTCTGCATTGTATCAGAGCTTTGTCCTACATGTTAATTTAGACATATAGTGTGAGGTAACTTATCACTGAAGGCACTAGCACATTCTCTGCATTCATTAAATTTCACTCCTATGAAAATTCCATAGTTTCCCAAGGGTGAAATCTAGCAACAGGCTAATCTACACTGACGACAGTCAAGTAGAGCACACTGATGTTTAATGAGTTCACTGAACTATCATGGTTTGTACCCTGAACAAGTTCACATATATATAATGAGTTCAGAGTCACTGCAAAGGATTATGTACCTTGACTTATACGTTTCTCGTGTGTATTAACAAGGCTTGACAAATGAGAGAAAGGTTACCCCCAATTGCTGAATCCACAGAGTCTCTCTCTTTTATGAGTTCTCTGATGTACAACGGGTGCTGAATTTGTGTTGAAGGCTTTCTCACATTAATTGCATACATACAGTTTGTCTCCTGTGTAAATTTTCTGGTGGGTAATGAAACCAATACCAATTATGAATAGGATTTTCCATAGTCAGTACATATAAAGGTAGTTTATCCTGTGTGAAACCCTCTGATGTTGGACAAGGCATATTTTCTTCCTGTAGGTGTGACTATATTCATTGCTTTGTTAAGATTTGTTTCCATTATGAGTTCTCTGATGTACAATGAGATTCCTCTTTGAGGAGAAGCCTTTTCCACATTCACTGCATACAAAAGGTTTCTCTCCTGTATGAGTTCGCTGATGAACGACTAGACGGCTTTTCATAGTGAAGCCTCTGCCACATTCATTGCAGGCATAAGGTTTCTCTCCAGTATGAATTTGCTGATGTAAAATGAGCTCTGTTTCCATGACAAAACCTTTTCCACATTCACTGCATATATAGGACTTCTCTCCCATATGAATTTGCTGGTGTATGATGAGATAGCGTTTCATTGTGAAGCCTTTTCCACACTCACTGCATGTAAAGGGTTTCTCTCCAGTATGAGTTCGCTGATGTACCACAAGATTGCTCTTAAAGGCAAACCCTTTTCCACATTTATTGCATATATAAGGCTTCTCTCCAGTGTGAGTTCGCTGATGTAACATCAGTCCGCTATTCACGATGAAGCCTTTCCCACATTCGCTGCATCTATAAGGTTTCTCACCCGTATGCGTTCGCTGATGCACAACAAGCCGACTCTTCAACGGGAAGCCTTTCCCACATTCACTGCAGATGTAGGGTTTCTCTCCAGTGTGAGTTCGTTGATGTATGATGAGCATGCTCTTCACAGTGAAGCCTTTTCCACATTCACCACATACGTAGGATTTCTCTACTGTATGATTTCTCTGATGTACAATCAGATTATTCTTCCTGGGAAAGCCTTTTCCACATTCATTGCACACATACGGCTTCTCTCCTGTATGAGTTCGCTGATGTTCAATCAGACGACTCTTCATGGTGAAACCTTTCCCACATTCATTGCATATGTAGGGTTTCTCTCCTGTATGGTTTCGTTGGTGTATGATGACATAGTGCTTTGTGGTAAAGCCTTTCCCACATTCACTGCAGATGTAGGGTTTCTCTCCTGTATGAGTTCGCTGGTGTATAGTAAGCATGCTCTTCCCAGTGAAGCCTTTTCCGCATTCATTACATACGTAGCATTTCTCTCCAGTATGATTTCGCTGATGTACAATGAGGTTACGCTTCCCTGGGAAGCCTTTTCCACAGTCACTGCATATGTAAGGTTTCTCTCCAGTGTGAGTTCGCTGGTGTTCGATCAGACGGCTTTTCATGGTGAAGACTTTTCCACAATCACCGCATATAAAGGATTTCTCTCTCTTGTGAATTCTCTGATGTTCATTGAGCCTGGATTTTCGGGAGAATACTTTTGCACACATACTGCATCCATAAGGTTTCTCTCCTGTATGAACTCTCTGATGGTCAGTGAGCTGAGACTTCTTAACAAAGGCTTTCCCACATTCACTGCATATGTGGGCTTTCTCTGTGTTGTGAGTTCCTTGGTGCTTAATGACTTGGGACTTACTACTGATGGATTTTGCACTTACAGGGCATTGAACTGGAGAATGAAATTCTTCATGCTTACCATGCAGAAATGATTTCCCATCTCCATTACATTTAGTAGAGTTCTTAATTTCATAGCTTTGGCCCTGCCTGACTAAACTTAAATGTGATTTCAAAGTTTTTATATAGAACTCAAACATATCATGATTTTGCCTGAAAGAGAAATGACTTTTGCTTTGAGGAACAGGATTTCCAAATGCATTATGTTCCTGGTATTGTTCTATACCTTTCAGCATTCTTTGATTTTCCCAGTCACCCTGAAGATGATTACCAACGTTGCCAGTTTCTAGGAAAGAAGAGAACAATGAGCCCTTTTTATTATTGTTTGGAATAAAATTGTTTTAAAAATCCCTTGGTTTTTAAAAAAAATGGCACTTTAGTGGCAACCCTATGATAACAGTATAAAAGAAACACCATGTATAAATGTTCCTTATTTCTTACACATGGTAAAAACACAGTAATATAAACGAACCAAAAGGAAAAAAAGTTAATGTACCAATAAGGTTAGGCAGTTGACTAATCTATGTAGACTTGGCTGCTCTCTAAATAGGAAATTGCAAAACATGCAGAGGTAGTAAAATACATGCAAATCTTTTTTTTTTTTTTTTTTTTTTTTTTTTTTTTTTTTTTGGCCTGTGCGGCTTGCAGGATCTTGGCTCCCTGAGTAGGGATTGAACTCAGGCCCACAGCAGTGAAAGCATGGAGTCTTAACCACTGGACCACCAGGGAACTGCCAAGCAAGTCACTGATAGCAGCAAATGAGAGGGTATGGAGGAACAGAACTTGAAAAGACACAAGACCACAGAGGTGGAAGAGATAACTGATCCAAAATGATGAGGGTTGCATTTGTTCACTCCAAAAGTATTTATTGAATGGCTCCCATGTGCAAGGCAGTGTGTTGGCATTTGGGATATATAAAATATGCCTTACTTACTTTCACTTCTCATAATTCCTGTTAGGGAAACCCAAATGAAAAAGAAGAAAAGAAAAAAAAAAAGTAGGGAGTTGGAGATTGCTAAATGTGGTTTGAAGGAGCAAAGGAGATGGTGGCAAGCAGAGGAAATGAGGATATGGTGAATACTTGCATAAAGAAAAGGCAAGGTTGGGGCTTCCCTGGCGGTCCAGTGGTTAAGACTCCAGACTTCCAGTGCTTCCACTGCAGGGGGTGTGGTTTCCATCCCTGGTAGGGGAACTAACATCCTGCATGGCACACAGCCAGAAAATTTTTTTAAATGTTAAAAAAAAAAGAAAGAAAGAAAAAGCAAGGTTAACTGATGGGGTCAGTGTGGAGAGTGGTCTTTGAAAGTGAGGAACCCAGGATTACTCTGCTAACTGTATGGCCTGAGCCAATGGTTTGGTAAAAGCATCTCCAGTTGTGATGAGGAAGAAGATTACTGAAATCCACATGTAGGAAAAAAAAGTGTGCATTGTGGAACCTAAACTTTGAGATGATATTAGATGTGTAGTAGAGAAATCAAGAAGCCAAGTGGAGGTATAAGTGGAGGAAACAATGTGGAAATAATATGTGCATACTATTCACGAAAAGAGGACTGGATGTGTTGGGAGGACATGTAGAATGAAAAATGATGACCATACAGAACCAACGTCTTAGACATTCCAACACTCAGGAGTTTGGGGATTCTTTAAGCCCACTTAGAGGATCCAAATTCTGACTACAGAAATCAGGGAAATATGCATACTGAGGTGTATAGAATAAACGTATTTGTAACCTGGCAAGTAACTGTAAAGGACTGTAAACTGAGATAATCTCTTGCATTGTAATCCTGTTCCTAAATTTGCTTCTGTAGACCACCATCAAACTAACTTTCCAAAAAGTTAGTATAATCAAAACTCTAACCTTTAGTCTATCTGTGTCACGTTATCCTATGTACCATTCATAGTGAAACAGGGCAACAATGACTGTTAGGAAATTTTGCAACTGGCCGTGTACCATGTAGTCATCTTCGGAAGCTAATGGAATATGGAAACTGTCGCCTTCTTCAATCACTTTCTGCATTCAGTAGAGAGGTCGTATCCAAATTTTTCCCATGTCAACGTCCCTAATAAACTCTTCACTTGCCACCAGCAGCATCTACTTCAGTAACTCTACATTTGCATCTAGGTTGGCAACAGGTTGTACTAAAGGACCAACTTCCTCCTTTAAGACCAGGTTGTGTCAGCTTTACCTTCAGGTTTTTTTTTTAAGAACATCTGACTGTTCCTTATTATTGCTATCCTACTGCCACCCAGGTAAAAGGTAAGACAGCCTAGAGCTATAAAAATACAAAACCTACCAACCCTCCACTATGCTACCTCAATTACTCACATAACAAATCCAAACAGTCATCCTGGCAAGAAAAGTGTACATCACCCTGAGTATTCCATGGATTCATGTTTCCACTCCACTCCTCCTCCTGAAGAGACCTTCTAACACTGGCTTTCATTTGCCTGACTTCAGGCCACTCTTTTGATAGTCAATCCCATGGGCTTGCACATTTCTTATTTCATGCCTTCATTCCTAACTCATGGCATCATCTTCCTAATTCAAAATGTAGATAAACCTTGTACATATCATGCTGTCATTCCCACTCTGACTGTATTACTATAAGCTCTATTTCCTCTGTTTTTCTAAAGGAATCCCTTTATTGTTCATTGGTAGAGTTACCTTCAGTGAAGACTGAACCTCATTCAAAGAGAGGTCTGGCCCTTGCCCTTGGCTATTGGGAGGTGATCTCTAGGCCCCTGGAATGTCCTGCCTGATAGTAGTATCTTTGTTTGCCTGGTGGCTTTGGCCACCAGACACTCTAACAATGTGATTTATGACATGGGCTTTGGGCCACACCATATCAGTTACAACCTTTGGAGGAAATGGAGACTATAGGTATTAGCCTGACTTCTGGAGGGGCCAAAGACATATTTCCATGTGGGAAATATGTGATTGAATCCCAATGAAAACTCTGGATACCAAAGGCTGAGCCTTTGGTTGGCAATACTCTGTGTATTATCACACATCATGGCTGGAAGGACATAATGCCGACCATGAGTCTGGAAGCACCACATTTGGACCCTTCCAAGAGTCCACATGACCCAAGAATTCCACTCCTAGATATATACCAAAGAAAAATGAAAACATATGTTCACAAAAAAGTTGTACATGAATGTTCATAGCAGCATAATTCAAAAAAGCCAAAAAGTGGATACCACCCAAATGTCCATCAATAGATAAATGAGTAAATAAAATGTGGTATATACATACAATGGAATATTATTTGGCAATAAAAAGGAATGAATTACAGATACATGTTAGAACTTCTATGGAAGAATTTCAAAAACATTATGATAAATGAAAGAAGTCTTTCACAATAGACCACATAGTTTATGATTCTATTTATATTAAATATCCAGAACAGGCAAATCTACAGAGATAGAAAGTAGATTAGTGCTTGCCTAGGGCTGAAGGCTTAGGAGGAAACTTTTATAAAATGATGAAAATCTTCCAAAGTTGCTGTTGGTAATGGTTACATAACTCTCTTAATATACTACAAAACAATGAATTGTATGCTTTAAGCTGGCAAATTGTAGCATATGTGAATTATCTCAGTAAAGCTGTTAAAAAAAAACAAGAATATAATGGGAAAAACAAATGATTTAGGGAAATGAATACAGTGCTAACACCTAAGATGAGCCAAAGGAAAATCAGAAATAGCAAATGTATGAAGGAAGTAAACTGAAGGAGACATAAGCTGCGACTTAGGCAGAACTGATGTAGATGTAAAACAGTCTTTTCTAGTTAAAACAGTCAACAGCAGAGACCTCTAAGATGAGAACTCCATAGGCAGAGAATAACATTCAAGATAATACCAGCATGGACAGGGTAAGATGTGCAATATTAAAAGAGAATCTAACATTAAAATAGGATGGTGGAAAGGGCTTTTTTGTGGAGAGAAGGTGATTCCTATGCCTCATACAGGAACTCAGGAATCTTAGGCCAGTAAAAGATCTAGAACATCTAGAACTCAAAGTATAGAAAATATAGACAATAGTAAGGGAGATGGCAATTTGGAGAAAACAGATAGAAAACAGATAGAGCTTAATTCATGAGACTGAAGGAAAATTTTGAGAAAATGGAAAGCAATACCTTTGAAGAACCTCAGAATGGTGGTGGGGGGCAGTGCGGTGGAAAAACTAAGGAGCTGGCTTGATGCACAGTCATAGACTAGGTTACTGTGAGGGCACAAAATACAAGGTGCAGTTGGATGTCAGGAAGGGAAGTCTGTCTTTCTCAGTGGGGCAGGAGAGTGCAGTAGTCAGAAAACAGTGATGAATTCAAAGATCTCTCCTTGGAGCGAGGCCTGGAATTTCATAGCCAGGGAGGTGGAAGGGATTTGTGACAGGGTTCAAAGGAGAGGGTTACAGAATCCAAGGAAGAAGAAAACGAGGCAAACAAACAAAAATCAAGATGTAAAATAAAATCAGCAAGGAACAGATCTCAGAAGAGAAAAAAGGGTTATACTTACCTCTCAAGACCTAAAAGTTCTTTTATGGGGAAAGAGATACACGGAGGCACGGTATCCTCAGACGCCCTCCAGCCTTCTCGCACTGACTGACTATGATGTCTGCAGTTACCCAGCTGATCCTCACTCACCTGGACAGGTTTGACTGTGGATTTCATCTTCTATTGTCCACGGTTCTTCCCCTCGTTCCAACTTGGACATTGCATCTGGTTTGCTGACCCGATACCCTGTTCATGGGAAACGATAGAAGACTGAGACTCACTGAACTGGGCTGGGGTCTGTGGGGACGGGAGAATGTTACATTTGAGGGACCGTTTTTCACATCAGCCAAGCGGAGGCTTTTCACTCAGGAGAGACTCATGGGATATTGTGATATAATAAGATATATTTGGTCTCTGCCCCCAGTTCCTGGCACAGAGCTTCTAAAGCCCTTGTGGGGACTTCCCTGGTGGTCCAGTGGTTAAGACTCTGTGCTTCCACTGCAGGGGGTGTGGGTTTGATCCCTGGTCAGGGAACTAAGATGGCGTGTGGCACAACCAAAAAATAAAAATAGGGACTTCCCTGGTGGCACAGTGGTTAAGAATCCACCTGCCAATGCAGGGGACACGGGTTCGAGCCCTGGTCCTGGAAGATCTCACATGCTGTGGAGCAACTAAGCCCACGTACCACAACCACTGAGCCTGTGCTCTAGAGCCCATGAGCCACAACCACAGAGCCCGCAAGCCACAACTACGGAAGCCCATGTGCCCTAGAGCACACGTGCAGCAACTACTAAGCCCGCGTGCCTAGAGCCCGTGCTCCAAAACAAGAGAAGCCACCACAATGAGAAACCCACGCACCGCAACAAAGAGTAGCCCCCGCTTGCCGCAACTAGAGAAAAGCCCGCATGCAGCAACAAAGACCCAACGCAAACAAAAATAAATAAAATTTTAAAATAAATAAATAAATAATAAAAATAAAATAAAGCCCTTGTAATTTCCTATGTGACGGGCTGGCAGGAACCTCTTCTGTTACAGAATTTGGTTTAAGTTCCAGTTCCTGACACAAGAACTTCTAGCACCTTTGGGGTCCAGAGTGATGGGTGTCTTCTGTGTGCTAATGAGATGACTGGTAGCTGGGGGTCCCTAGAGAGCTTCAGGGTGGAGGCTGGCTGTCAGAAAGACCAAGCCATGAGTAGAAGGTTGGAAATTTCAGCTCTAACTCCCTAACCCCTCCATGGGGAGGGAAGGGGCTGGAGACTGAGTTAATCACCCATGGCAAATGACTTAAGAAATCACGCTTACACAATGAAATCGCCAAAAAACTCCTAAAAAACCAGGTTGGGGGAGCTTCCGGGTTGGTGATCACATCAAAGGTGACACACTTGGAGCAGGCATGGAAGGCCCACACTCCTTCCCCCATACCTCACCCTGGGCATCTCTTCCATTTGGCTATTATCCTTTATAATAAACTGGTAATGGTAAGTAAAGTGCTTTCCTGAGTTCTGTGAACCGTTCTAGCAAATTACCAAACCTGAGGGATAGAGAGTGGGAATGCCCAATTTAAGGTCAAGTCAGACAGAAGTGTGGGTACCCCGGGTACCCAATCCATTCGACTAGTGCCTGAAGTGAGGGCAGTCCTGTGGGACTGAGTCTGTAAGCCTGTGGGATCTGAGGTTGACTCTGGGTGGTTAGTGTCAGAAAAGGATTGAGTTTCGGGACACCCAGTCCAAATCTGGAGAGTAGGAGAATTGGTTTTGGGGACAGAAAAAACCCCACACACTTGGTGTCAGCTGTGTTGGTAGTAAAAACAACTCATGGCACATTGTATATACCCTTTTATCAGGAGCCAGAGGAGGCACTGAGAATTTGCCATTAGGGCACTGTAGTGACTTCCAAGTGTAAGCAGCTGAGGAAGGAAAGGCCACTGACTGGAGACCCTCTGAGGGACCCAGGGGAACCGTCCTCACCCACGGACAGCAGGTTGCTATAGTTCTCCAGCATCACGTCCCGGTACAGGTCCTTCTGAGGAGGGGCCAGGAGCTGCCACTCCTCCCACGTGAAGTCCACGGCCACATCCTTGAATGACAGGGTTTCCTGTAATAATAGAGTCCTGTTTAATGCGAGTGTTTCTCTTTGACTGACTCATAAGGAATATAAAGGAAGCTGTCCTGCTCATATTTCTATGATTTTGACACCAATTCCGATGTGTTTTTTTAAACACATCACCAAGCAATTCTCTGACACCAGCTGTGTGTCCTACAATTCAATTCTGACATGATCGACCTAAAGAGAGCATCACATGCCACAGGGTAAGAGCCCAGTTCCATGAGACCCCACCTCCACCCCACTCCAGATGCCAAATGCAAGTCCAGGTTGCCACCTGTGCTCCTGACTAATCAGCTACAGATTGGAGGTTCTAGTGACCCCCTCATTGGGTTTGATTAATTTGCTGGAGCAGCCCAGAGAGCTTGGGAAAACAGTTTACTTACTGTTCACCAGTTTATTATAAAAGCATATGATAAAGGATACAGATTTCATCCAGATGCAAGAGCTGCTCATGGCAAGGTATGTGGAAAGGAGCTTGGAGCTTCCGTGCCCTCTCCTGGTGCCCCTCCAGCACCTCCATGTGTTCACCAGCCCAGAAGCTCTCTAAACCCCATACCTTTGGGATTTTTATGGAGGCTTCATCACGTAGGGATGATTGATCATTAACTCTATTTCTAGCCCCTCCCTCTTCTGTGGATAATGGGGAATGAGATGGAAGGTTCCAAGCTTCTGATCATGGCTTGGCCTTTCTGGTAACCAGGTCTCATTCAGGAGCCCTTCGAGTGTTGCCTCATTAGAAAGAAAGGCACTCCTATCACCCAGGAAATTCCAAGGGATTTAGAAACTCTGTATCAGAAACCAGGATCAAAGACCAAATTTTACAACAAAATATGCTCTTAGTACTCTTTTTAAAAAAAATTTATTGAAACATAGTTGATTTACAATGTCATGTTAATTTCTGCTGTACAGCAAAGTGATTCAGTTATATATATATTCTTTTGCATATTCTTTTCCATTATGGTTTATCACAGGATACTGAATATAGTTCCCTGTGCTACACAGTAGGACCTTGTTGTTTATCCATTCTAAATAGAATAGTTTGCATCCGCTAATCCCACACTCCTACTCCATCATCCCCAGTCCCCCTTGGAAACCATAAGTCTGTTCTCTATGTCTGTGATTCTGTTTCTGTTTTGTAGAGAAGTTCACTTGTGTCATATTTTAGATTCCACATATAAATGAAGTTGTATGGGAGCTCGTAGTACCCTTATTATTTAGGAAATTACAAGGATTTTAGGGGCTCTGTGCTAGGAATTGGGGTCAAAGACCAGAAGATTCTCAGAGCACCCCTATTTAAAAGGGAGCTTTATGTCAGGAACTAGAGGCAGAGACCAATGTGTATATTTCTTATTATTTCACAAAAGGCTAACATCATATTAGATACACTGAAAATATAACGAGTGAACTGGAATATGCATTTGAAAAAATAACTAAAGATGAAGCAGACACAGAAAGAGACAGAAAATATAAAGGAGAGTTTACTAAATATGGAGAATACAGTGAGGTCTAACATAGGCCTCTATGTAGTTTTTGAAAGAGATTATAGAGAAACAGAGAAGCGATATGAAGATCTCAGGAATTAAGAAAATTTTAGAATTGGTTAAACATCCTATAAGTCAGACTTAGCCAGCCAGCAAAGCCAGGCAGGAAATCTGCTTCTAGATGAGTGAGACTGAAACTATAGAACATCACTTGCAAAAGTCAGATTCGGAAACCAACCAGAAAGAAAAGACTCGGGCTTCCCTGGTGGCCCAGTGGTTAAGAATCCGCCTGCCAATGCAGGGGACACGGGTTCAAATCCTGGTCCAGGAAGATCCCACATGCCGTGGAGCAACTAAGCCCGTGTGCCACAACTACTGAGCCTGAGCTCTACAGCCCTCGAGCCACAACTACTGAGCCCACGTGCTACACCTACTGAAGACTGCATGCCTAGAGCCTGTGCTCCACAACAAGAGAAGCCACTGCAATGAGAAGCCTGCGTGCCGCAATGAAGAGAAGCCCCCACTCGCCACAACTAGAGAAAGCCCGTGCGCAGCAACAAAGACCCGATGCAGCCAAAAATAAATAAATTAAATAATTTTTTAAAAAAAGAAGTGATGAGGAAAGGATTAAAAAAAAGAAAGAAAGAAAAGACTCATTACCATCAAAAGAAAGACAAAATTGATGAAATGAAAACAACAGAAGCCAGAAAAATGTTGTGATGAATATATATTTGGTCTTTGTCCCTGGTTCCTGGAACACAGTTCCAAAAAACCGTGGGCTCTCTAGGATGATAAAAGTATCTTTTGTGTGCTCATGAGATGACTGGTGCCTGGTCCCCAGAAAGACCCCCAACCTCCAGGGAGGGAACTGGCATTGGGGGTTGAGTTCAGTCCCCAATAGCCAGTGATTTAATCAATATGTGCCTACATCAAAAAACCACCATAAAAACCCCTAAAACATCAGGTTCAGAGAGCTTCCAGGTTGGTGAACACATAGAGGTGCTGGCGGGGTGGTGCTCCCAGGGAGGAACTTCCGCCCCCCTTCCCCCATACCTCGCGCTATGCATCTCTTCCATCTGGCTATTCCTGAGTTGTAGCTTTTAGAATAAACCAGTGAACGTACGTAAAGAGCTTTCCTGAGTTCTGTGAGTCATTCTAGTGAATTACCAAACCTAAGCAGGGTGTTGTTGGTACCCCCGGATTTAGGGCTCATCATCAGAAGCTTAGGTAACAGGCTGAGACTCTTGACAGGCACCTAAAGTGGGGGCAGTCTTGTGGGACTGAGCTCTTACCTTGTGGGATCTGACGCTAACTCCAGGTAGTTAGTGGCAGGATTGAGTTGAATTGTAGGACACCCCGTTGGTGTCTGGAGAGTCACAGAATTAGGAGGTGTGAGGAAAATACCCCTACATTTGGTGTTAGAAGTGCTCTGGATAACAACATTTCAGCAGTGTGGAATGTCTTCAATGTCCTGATCCTGTGGCCATGCAGCCTAGGCCAAAATGCCACCAGGGAATGAAATGAGACCTGCTTGTCAACTGAGCTGCCAGATGAGGGGAAATCTGATGGGATAATCTATCCCTGTGTTCTTGCAAAGATTACATCATAGAGAAGAGAGTTACCTGGTTGAGCAAATTCTTTTCTTTTTCTTTTTTAAAAGAGGCAGCAAATTCTTAACACTTGATTTTACCACCTTCTAAATTTTTTCACGTGAGATATAGATCCATTTGGAAAAACAAAAACTTAGGTTCCTACCTAATTTCATACTCAAAAATAGTTTGTCTCCTGTTTAGAGTCCTAGCCATAAAACAAAAGAATCTGTGAAAGGAATAGAGACAAATATGAATTATGTTCATGTCACAAACCAAAAACCATAAAAGAAAATAAGTAGCAAACTTTATAAGAGGAAAAATTAAAATGTCTGCATTGAAAAAGTTACCGTGGATAAAGCTGAAAGAAAAGTGACAAGCTGGGAAAATATTTTTGATAAACAAAAGAAAGAATCAATATGTAGTGGATAGGCATGACTCCTATTAATCAGTAAGAAAAAAAATCATTTTGTTAATGTAAAAATGATAAGGACAGGCATATCACAAGAGAAAAAGAATCCAACTGGCCAATAAATATACAAGACGGATTTCAACCTTACCTATGATGAGGTAAATGCAAAATAAGGTAAAAGAATAAACATTGGACCATTCAGATTGATGAAATTATACAATTTGATAATGTCCTATTATTAAGTACTGGCAAAGATTTAAGGCATGGGTGATCTCACACATCACTTACTATGTAGCAGGCATGAAAAGGAGCAGGACCCTATGGGGCCTCCCCAGGACAGATAGACACACACACACACACACACACACACACACCACACCACCATGTCCTCAGTCTGCCTTTTGTCTGCAGAAAAACTTTAAAGAATACATTTAATCAGAGAAGTGAGAAAATGCAGACACAAAGGAAAACAGTCCAACAAGACCAAATAATAATAGTTTAGTCATTAAACAAAGTCAAGGACCTTTAGTTCCTCTTCCAGGGCTATAGATAATATTCTAAGCCATATCCTTTGAGCTGTTTTGTAGATACTGAAACCCTCACCAGTTGGAAGAAGTTAACTACATGATGACCAGACTGTAGCCATGACATAAGCTGCCAAAATTCCAAGAATTGGCTTCAAGGAAATGGGAACAAACCAACCGTGGAACTAAAGATTAACTGTGCTCAACACAATCAAGATGACACTGATCAGACCATGGCATTACCGATTTCAAGATGACTGCCAGAGTTGACTATGCTGTTTCTGCATGTAGCCCCCTCCCTCTGCCTATACATCCCTGAAACTCCCCTTTAAAAGCTCTGGCCCACTGACTGGCAGTGGGGAGTTGGCCTCTGGACATGAGTCCACCCTCTTTCCCCAGTTGCCAGCCTCTGGAATAAAACAAACTTTCCTTTCCACCAACCTTGCCTCTCGAGTTATTGGCTTTCAAGCAGCGAGCAGCCAGACCTGACTTTTGGTAACAGACACTCATCTAAATGATTTACATAGTTTGACTCATTTCTTTAAGTACAATTATAGACGAATGGAATTTTATACAGCTAATATTCACAAAACAACTGCAGTCATTATTCTATTAGATGCTTAAATTATACTATCTCAGGCCAAAGGAATGTTCTTTAGAATATAATTCCACTGATGCACAAAGCAGACAGACGTATTTATGTACACAGATATGTACATGAACCCACATGCATTTATAAATAGGCACACATCTACAGGCGCACACACAGAGTCAGTAACAGTTACACATTATGTTCCAACACTAGTCATTTACTAGGAATCATATAAACACTATGTTCTTGATCCTACTTTGCCATGGCGTTGGAGTTTGTCTACAAAATTTATTTCTCTCTGGATACTGAACTGATTTTTTTTTTTTACAGGCCTCTACAAATCCATTAAGGAATAAAGGAGAGAATAAAACAAGACATGAGTCACCTGGGCCTGGATCATCTTCTTCTGTTCTCTGAAAATAGCTGGCAATGCAGAGGCTCTGTCTTTGTCTCTTCTGGATATACCAAAATTTCTAGTTAGATATAACAGTCGCCAAAGTATCCCCAGAAATAACAATATCTAGGTCCTGGAAACTCCTCTTTCTTCATTCATATCTTGTCTCTTGTTAGCACCTGTGGGTTGAAAAGCAAAATTACTTCTGGAATTGTATTCCTTCTTCCTGTGCACTCACCTTAACACGTGGTCCCCAATATTTCTGTCTCTTCATTTGATTCCCCAGATAATTTCACACCTTGGGCCAATGAAACCTAACTCCCTGAATATATGGAAGTAGCATGAATTTGAAAGGGAAAGTGGCAAAGGAGAATCATCACAGTACTATATTTCAGTGGCAGGTAATTTTCAGACAATTATAGAAATGAGGCCATCTGGGCAGTGAGAAACTGTAAATTTTTCCTTTAAACTTTGATGCCCTCAAGCCTCTTTAAAAGTCTTCAAAATGGGGACTTCCCTGGTGGTGCAGTGGTTGAGAGTCCGCCTGCCGGTGCAGGGGACACGGGTTCGTGCCCCGGTCCCAGAAGATCCCACATGCCACGTCTCTAGCAGGATGTAACTTTGTTTTTGTAATGTTTTTGGAAGGTATTTTTAATTCCAATTCATTAAAGACTGCTGCCTTGCTCCAATTTGAATCTCTGTTGCCATAAGTTACACTAAGTGTGGGCAGGGGCATTGGAAGGGCCACCGGAATTTCATATCTTTAAATTTGTATCATTTTTCTTAAAGAGGAACACAAATGACAAAAGTTAATGGCATGGCCGCTGAGCCTGCGCGTCCGGAGCCTGTGCTCCGCAGCGGGAGAGGCCACAACAGTGAGAGGCCCGCGTTCCGCAAAAAAAAAAAAAGATCTTCATACCCCCTGTTTACATACACATTTTAATATGAGGGACAATGAACACATCAAAAAAAGAAAAGAGAGAAAAGGAATATAAGCCATAAATACAAATTTTAAAAACAATTCAAAAATATAAACACTGGGAAAGGAGCAGCCTTTAAATATTCACCTATAGAACCTGAAATGAAATATGCAGTCAACCTGCAGGAGGAATGATAAAAACAAAAATTAAAAGATTACTAAATTGAAATATGTTGAATTGTTCTTCCCCCAAACTTTCATTTCTTTGGGTTCAAAAGGAAGGGGTGCTGTAGGGAGCCAAAAGGGATTAGAAAATTTGTGGTGGGGCAGGGACTTGGACCTGAAGCTTTCAGGGAACGTTAACTAACGTTCACCAAGTCTGTTCCAGCAGCCAAAGTCTGGGCTCAACACACGCACCTACCAGGGCTCCTGAGCTTCCCGCCTTCTGCTGTCACACATCCCTGCACGAAAGACAGTGACCATTACCCCACCGGATTAATACCAAACCAGGTCAGATACACACGTACACTGACCTCCCTTAAAGGTTCCTAGACCTTTGAGCTCCAAATTATCCGAGAACCCGAACAAGTCTCCACATTCATTGACGAACCCCACGCCACCAGTTGTCAATCACCCCCGAAGACCTTAAACCCTGACCTCAGGACTCTCGGTAGTTGATCTGTTCAGACCTTTAATCGCTGACCACCAGAGCCCCCCATGTTTGACCCCAAAGACACCCCGATCATAGACATTATACTGACTCCTCCACGCTCCCTTCAAAAACAAAACCAAACCACCATCCATCCTTGCGCTACCTTCCCAGACTCAAAGGAGCCACAGCCCACCTAAAGACCGCCCCCATCCCCGCCTTTTTTACAGCCAGACCCACATACCCACCTGGTTCTCTCCTGAACCTGCAGCGACCTCTTCAGGGCCTAACTTTATCCCCCAAACTCCTTTTACTTCTGGTCCCCTCGCCCAGCCCCCTCTCCCGAGACCAACCGACAAGGGTCTGCGGCGTTTCTACCGCGTTTCTATGGTGAACGGATTGGGGGTTTCCGGCTTTTCCTTATGAGGTAATACGTCCGCGCCGCCACCACAGACTCGGCGCCCTGGGGTCGCCATCTTTGCGCACCTGACGTACAGAAGGCGTGGCGGCCGCTGAGAGACCACGGCTGAAAACTCTGTTTCCTGGTACCTCAGCCCCTTAAAGGAAAATGGGGAGATTTTAAGAAGCTCGAGCTCATACAAAGCAAACATGACGTGGGGGTAAATTCGTTTGAATGGACAGGGCCCGCTTGTGGACGGTGAACGGCGCAAATTTTTCAAAGGCCGGAGCCCATCAAGACCGAAAGGGCGCAGGAGTACATTCTGAGCGGCTGTTACGGCTGTGACGTCTCAGCTCCGTAGGAAATTAAAATTGCTTCTGGACACCTCGATAACTGGTTTAATTGCGAAAAGATTTAGAGGCCGTATGAAAACTTAAGAGTGCTTGGCAAAAAAAAAAACCCCTGGCGGCGCGCTGTAGCCGTTTCGGGTTTGCGCCGTTGGGCAGAGACGTACCGTGGACGCCGCCATCTTAGAGGAGATTTGGTGTCCGTACTGCGGGGCAAATGCTGTCTGCGGAGCTCGGCGTGGAACTGGCAGATGGAAGTGTTTGGGGAAGACCAAGGTTTGGAAAACTGACAGTACAGGGGATGCAGCGATCGCAAAGTGAGCGGAAACGGTGGACGTTGTCAGTCTCTTCCCAACCGTGCTCCTTACCCAGCCCATCCTGGGCAGCACTAGACCGCCTTCTGTCACTACAGATTAGTCTGCGTTCTTTTCATAAAATTAGTAGTGTCTGTGCTGGCTTCTTATCCATAGCACGACTGCTTTGAAATTCATCATTTTAAATATATATATATATATATATAATTTATTTATTTGGTTGCAGCTCACAGGTTCCTTAGTTGTGGCAGGCGGGCTCCTTAGTTGTGGCATGCGAACTCTTAGTTGTGACATGCATGTGGGATCTAGTTCCCTGACCAGGGATGGAACGCGGGCCCCTCGTATTGGGAGGGTGAAGTCTTATCCACTGTGCCACCAGGGAAGTCCTGAAATTTATCATTTTTAAAGTATCAATAGTTCGTTCCTTTTTTGTTGCTTTAGTATTCATTGTTGGATATTCCGAAATTTAATCATTCACCAGTTGGTGGACCTTTGCATTTTTTTACAGTTTTTTGGGTACTGCCAGTGGAACTTCTGTGAACATTTGTGTGCAAAAAATAAAATGACCTCAAAGAACTGGTTTTCCCACAGTCCTATGTGTCTTCATCAGGTCACCAAGAAGTCTTTGCCAGCCATTTACAGGCCTGCTACCCATTACTAGCCCTGCTCCAGCTCATACTCTCTTCCTCCTCTCACCCCAGCCCTGAGCTAGAACGCTTATTCACCCTGGGGAAACAGATCTTGAGAACACAGGCTGTGGCACAGATGCAAGGTTCACCTACTTTCTTCAATTACGTTCAACCCCATAGGACCTTGTAAGTCTCAGCACCTGATAAAAGTCATATAACGAAAGGTCAAAGCAGGAAGTCAGTTTCATTTTCTCTCACTGGACCATCATTACCATGCTGGCCCAATCTCTCACCTGAGATACTAGAATTGTCCCTGCTTATATCCTTGACCCATATGATCTCATCTTCATAGAACAGGCAAGGCGATCCTTGTAAAACGCAAATCAATCATGAAATTTTCCTGTTCTCAATTATCTAATGACTACATTACAGGATTGAATAAATATCAGATGGCCAAGTTTAGGTGCTTAAAAATATTATGTTGGAGTAAATTTACCCGATAATCCAGGGTTTGTGATGGAAATGTAGAGCTACTGCATAGCAAATTTCCATTTCTTGTTCTTTAAGCAGGACTCAAGGTTTTTTAGCAGGATATGTTTAATAGATCAAGGGAAAGACTCTGGATAAGAAGAGGGGATAAGAGCCCCGCTCATAAGAGTAAGAAGGAATGAAAAAGATAAGGAAAATCACATGTCTAATTGAACAGGTCACAGAGGGGATGGAATCTTTTTTTGGGGGGGGAGATGGAATCTTTGAAGTGATGGTAACTCTCAAAGGTGATAGGCCTGTGAACAAATAAATACAAGGTTTCTTCTCGAGTACATCCCAAGGGGATCTTACCTCTTTTCATCTCCTATACTTTGTTCCAATGTACAATGAAACTGACCTTCGGGATGAAACCATTTCCACAATCTACATATAGAGGGTTTCTCTCCAGTCTGAGTTTTCTGAGGTAAAATGAGATGTGATTCAATGAGGAAGGCTTTGCCAACATTTAGCATATACGTAAGGTTTCTCTCCTGTATGGATTTTCTGGTGTTCGGTGAGCCTGGACTTTGCGGTATGCCTTCCCACGTATGCTGCATCCATGGGGGGTCTCTCTCCCAGGTGAATTCTCTGATGTTTAGTGAGCCGAGACTTCCTGATGAAGGATTCCCCATATTCACTGCATACATGGGATTTCTCAACTCTGCGATCTCTCTGATGCTTAATGAACTGAGCCTTAGTGTTGCTGAGTTTTCCAATTTCAGGCAATTTTATTATGAATTTGCTCATGCTTTATAAAGAGAAAGGATTTCCCATCTCTGTTACACTCCACAGGGTTCTTTATTTCATAGCTTCTGTTCTGATTTTACTACATTTAAATTTGCAGAATTTCCATGATTTTGTCTTAAAGGAAAATGCTTTTGGGCTGGATGAACAGTATTTTCAAAGGCATGATGTTCGTGGCATTGTTCCATCCGCTTTAGGCATCTTTGGTTATGCAAGTGTTCCTGCAGTTGATCATCAACTTTCTTGACTTCTAGAAAAGATGAGAACGTGAATGCTTAGGTGTGGATCAGCGCTTTAGTGTTGGTTGCATGATCTCAGTACAAAAGAATCTTTAATAATGTTCCTTATAATCCTGTGATAAGCCATAATGTAAAAGAATATGAAAAAGAATGCATATATATGTATAACTGAATCACTTTGCTCTACAGCAGAAATTAACACAACATTGTAAATCAACTATACTTCAATAAAATAAAATGTTCCTTGTTTCTTAGACATTGGGAAAACCACAATACACAAAAATCAAGTCGCAAAAGCAGAAAGTGTACAAACAAGTTGAGGTAATTCACAATGAATAAATGTAGATCTGGCTGCTTTCTAAATACTGCCTTGAAAAATGTGCAAAGGTACTAAAAAAAACAAGAAAGTCACTGTTAGAAGAGAAAATAGAGGTGGTAGGAAAACCTGATCCAAAATTACAAGGGCTGGGACTTCCCTGGCTGTCCAGTAATTAAGACTCTGCGCTCCCAATGCAGGGGGCCGGGGTTGGATCCCTGGTCAGGGAACTACATCCTGCATGCCATAACTAAGAGCCCGCATGCTGCAACTAAAAGATTGCGCACTCGGCAATGAAGTTCCCATGTGCCACAACTAAGACCCGGCACAGCCAAATAAATAAATATTAAAAAAAAAAAAAAAAAGATTACAAGGGCTGCTTTCTTTCATTCAGCAAATCCTTGTTAAATGCCTATTATGTACTGGCCATAGTGCTGGTGTTGGGGACACACGAACATATTCTTTCTTCTCACTTGTGTTGACATCCTGGTTAGCAAAAATGAAATAATAAAAAATAAATAAATAGATAAATAATGGATGGACCTAAAGATTATCATATTAAGTGAAGCAAGTCAGAGATAGCTATCATATCACTTATATGAGGAATCTAAAAAAATGATACAAATGAACTTATTTACAAAACACAAATAGACTCACAGACATAGAAAACAAACTTATGGTTACCAGAGGGAAAAGCCAGAGGAGGGATAAATTAGAAATTTGGGGTTAACATATACACTACTATATATAAAATAAACAGCAAGGACCTACCGTACAGCACAGAGAATTATACTCAGCATCTTGTAATAACCTATAATGGAAAAGAACCTGAAAAAGAATATATATATATATATATATATA